TCTCAAAGTATTATTAAACCGGAATTTACAAAATCTCAGCATATATATAACAAAGAGTTAGGGGGTGAGAAAAATATAGACTTAGTTCAACTTAAAAGGACATATTGAAAGTCAAAATAACAATGAAGATCGTTCAAACCAAATATCAAAGGTAATAGTATATCTGTTATTATATCAAAATAAAGTTTACTAACTTGATCATCGTTCGTTAGTCTGGGGTCATTTTTGGTTGTCAAGTTGGCGAACTGGTAAAGATAATAAAATCAAGTGTAGATTGTTGGATTTTGTCAGTGTGTAGAATTATGAAAGTAGTGTGTGTTTACATAGTGAACTTGCTCATCACATTTGCGTTGATTTTGCTACTTCATGGAGGGGGGGGTGTTGTAGCCAGGTCAGATTCTGTTTTAGTCCATCATTCCTATTCAGGCAATTTGGATTCCACTTGATATGAAGTGCTTCTGATATTAGACGTTCTTTGTGGTTTCTGAAGTTTTTCTGGATTATTTCAATATTGTCAAAATCAATTTTGTGGCCTGATTCTATAGCATGTAGACCTATGGCTGATGATTTTTGAAGTTTTTCTAGTTCAACTGGATTTCTTGGTGGTCGAAGAGATGCTCTACGGTGTTCATTTCTTCTGATTTTGATTTCTCGAGATGTTTGTCCGATGTAGATCGCATCACATTCCGAGCATTTTATTTTATAGACACAATTAGATAGAGAATCTTTAGGGATTTGGTCTTTTATATGGACAAGGTTGTTTTGAAGTGTGTCCGATGTTTTGAAGAAAACTCTAATGTCGAGCTGATTGAGTACTCTTCTGATATCGTCTGACGTCTCTGCTCTATATGGAATGACGACTGTTGAAGTCCATGTTTTCGGAATGCATTTTCGGCCATACTTAATGTCTGTGTTGATTTTGTTGATGAAGTTCGTTGGGTAGTTGTTTTGCTTGAGAGTTTCAGTGATGTTTGATATTTCTTCTTCTTTTTCTTGCTCATCCGTTATCAGGGAGTGTGCTCGTCTAAGAAGACTTGAAACAACTGAAATCTTTGCGCTGATGGGGTGTGATGATTTGAAGTCTAAATATTTATTGGAGTGGGTTTTCTTCCTGAATATGGATATACTAAAATGTCCGTTTTCCTTTCTCTTAACTAGGCAGTCTAGAAATGGAAGTTCACCGATGTCTGATTCTGCTTCCGAAGTGAACTGGATTTTGGGAGATACACAGTTTATTTTCTCCAGGAATGAATTGTGTAGATCTCGTTTTAGTACTACAAAAGTATCATCCACATATCTTAACCATATTTTAGGAGTGAGTATGCTTGAAAAGATATTATTTTCGAATTTATTCATGTAAAGATCGGCGACTATTGGGGAGACTGGTGAACCCATAGCAACACCATTTGTCTGTCTATATAAACTCCCTTTAAATGTAAAATAATTACTTTCTAGACAGAATTTTAAGCTCTTAATTATTTCACTGGTGTCCAGTGGACATCTTTGTGATAGTGTTGTATCTGATTCTAGTAGACTGGAAATGATATCAAGACTTTCGGTAATAGGGATGCTAGTATATAGTGAGTTAATATCATAGCTTACCATAATGTCTTCTTTATCAATTTCTCGGTGTTCTATTTGGGATTTGAAATCATACAACCTTTCTAAACACTTACTCTCGATACTACAACCACTACAAAAGGACACTCAAAATATTGTAAAAAATCCATATGATTTCAAATTTTCAAATTTCAAAAGTTATTTAGTCACCAAAACCCGTTTTACCTCCGTGAAAGGAGGATAAGATTCTAGAGTTTGCCTCTAAAATGTCCACTATCTATTCGATAACTATTAGGCCTTACTTACTAAGACCTTCGACAATTACAGAATATTAGCCGTACTCAAGATTATCATCACGAGTTGGTCTGACTACAGTTTTCCGACAGTTTATCAATATATCTCATAGAATCTGGAAGAACAATTTGGCATCCATAAAATTAAAGGCTAGAAAGCAGTTAAACTCAGAAGAAATCTTCGATAAGTTTAAAAATTCAACGACTTCTGCCCATACATGCAAATACATACAAGAACACATCATACGTACACACACACACACACAGTAAAAACGAACAGAAAACAAATATGAAGTACTTAAGTCACATGATAGAAAATTAAACTTAGAATATAAGAGATTCTTACAACATTAGACAGACGATTGATGTTGAAATCCTTTTTATCGCTTTTTTTCCTCCCTTCTTTTACACACCGCCAAATAGCATTAGCTTAGTAGTTCAGTAGTAGATGGATGCATGTTGACATTTTTATAAAAGTCAACCAAACCTAAATTACACAGTTAAATGGAGATTAATTTTCTAGTATTGGTTTTGTAGGGATTTTGTTTGATTGCATGGAGGATTTCATCATGAGCTGACATCAGTTAGAGAACCACTGGAAAACCTGCAGGGAGTACTGGACAGCTGTTTCGTCCTAATTTGGGATTCTTCACAGTACGCACCCACCGAGCTTCCAGTGAGAAGCCGTGACCAATAGGGTACAGCAGATCGAGGATGAGGCAGTAACTCATCGAAGAAGAAGACATTGCGAAGTGGTGGTGCTATGTCGTGAATTGGCAGAAGTTAGAATTCAAGGACCATTGGATCGAGTCCCAGTGGCCCACTGGTCTACGAGCCCGCTAGCCTTGTACCTAGAAGGTTGTGGGTTCGAACCCTGGCGGGGGGTGAGTACTGTTGAAGAGTCCCAAATTAGGACGGAGGAAACAGCTGTCCAGTACTCCCTGCAGGTTTTCCAGTGGTTCTCCAACTGATGTCAGCTCAAGATGAAATCCTACATGAAATGGAGATTACTTACTTATACAAAAATAGGACTCATGAAAGTATAGAAGCCATATTAAAGCCACTTCACATCCTTATTGAATACAAACAATCAGATTTCCTCTAATGACTCTTTTTGTGGTGCGCTTTTAAGATCATGATCATTACTTTATTTAGTGTTTCCAAAGGCAAAAGTATTCTTCACATGGTAATTCGTGTCCGGAGAATTCTTCTTCAATAAAAACCCTGCATTCCATTCACATCAAACTTCACATCCAGCGATCTATGCAACTACTACCCTAACAGTTAGGTCAGAGAGGCTATGGGCCACACACTTAACGCTTGAGGGTGAGTGATATTATCCTCTTGTCTAACATGAACTAGATGGAGAGAAATTCCAACCTGCAAGTCATTGGCTGAAAGTCGAATGCTTAAGCTATATATTAGTTATATCATTCAACTCTACCTTTTTTAGATTTATATTTAAATAGTCAATAAATATGAATCAAAATGTAAAACGATGTAATGTTAAGGGTTAGAAAACATTGAAAACCAATGCTAGATACCCTCTTATGATTCATGTCACACACAGTAAACAGTCGCAAAAAACATAAACACAAGGGCTTGAACACATGAATTCATGGGCTAGCCATGGGATTCCACCCCAGTGGATGAATGGTCAACGTGATCTGGGTTCGATAGCCGGTGGTATCTTGGATGCCTAATGCTGAAGAGTTTCAAACAAGGACGAAATATTTGTTCAGTATTCCTCAAATTGATATTAATCCGTGATCAAATTTTATGTGGTAAATTATCAGAATTCGAAAATCAGGAAAAAAATGATCCCAACGGAAAAAATTACCCATCTCTAAATCAAGAACCTGATGGTTCCAGGAATGCAACTTTACGCGTTCACAGATTTATGCCTATAAAAAACATATGATCAGTGTTTCTTGGGTTTTCTAAAGTGCCAAATAAAGACAAAATTACATTTGGTATTAAAATTTAATTTTTCCATAAACTTAGTGCAAACACATACAAAATGTAATGTAACATAATATTTACTGATCACAATTAGTGTTATTCAATAACTTAAATGTATCAAAGAATTGGCATAGAAAATTGAACAGTCTACATCTAATTTTATGTGCTGATTTCATATTGATTTCAACAATACACTAAGTTAGGCGTTGTGCATTGAGAAATGTTCGCTTCTAGTGTACTATTTGAAAAGTTTACTTTATAACAAAACGTAATGGAGAGAAAAATTGTTAAATCGAATATGTTGTAAGATCTAGATGAATAAGATCAATTTACACATTCATACACGCGCATACACACACACACAACTGTGTATCAAATTGCTTTGCGTATGAAATCCAACGTTCGAGATGAGGAGTAATATTAAATTCAGGTTAATTGTTTTTTTGGTGTTGGTTGTGCTCTCTAAGCTGGATGGTTTAGTTATGCACTTCTAGAGAACATCTTCATTGCAAGCTATGCAGCTTACAGAGCACAACAACACTGAAAACATTCTCTTGATATAAAAATCGCCACTATTTCGAGCAATTTGTCAGTGATATTTGACGAGTTCGACTGACAATATCCTTTAATGAATCCATTTCCGTTTTACTTGTGCATAATTTGAACACCATTACTGTGATAACAAACACCTATGCAAAAGAACAATACGTAATACTATCTGATTACAAGATAAACTTGTAACTAGCCCATAAGTATCTCTCTATAAAAGAACGCAGCCACTTTTCAAACTAGGGAGGTCTGAATCAGTTTGATACAAGTTGAGACCGGTGAAAACAATCGAACTAGATGTGAGGATAGGTAATCGCCAATGACATTGGCGCTTTATATCACGAGTTGACACAAGTTAGTATTCATGAGAAATCGGATTCTGTCCTAGTGGCTTGCCTCGTCACACAAAAGTCCTGGATTCGATTCCTAGAGAGGTCGTGAGTGTTTACTGTTGAAGAGTACCAAACTAAGACGAAACAGCCGTTGGATACCTACTGGTTTTCAATGGTTCCCTAACTGACGTCAGTTTATGATCTAACTTGGAAATAACATTCACCACATCCAGAAAATACTTAGACCTCATAAAACCGCGTTCTTGCAGAAAAGAAACCAAACAAAACAATGAAAGGAACTTACATGTCAGGATGTTAGCTAAAATTGATAAATAAAAAAAGGAAAACATTAGTAAACATGAAAATCGATCTGATTTACAGTGTGAAAAAAGTAAACAAAAAATCATTGAAAAATATCCTTAGGAGAAAAAAGTGGTAGTATGAAGGGAAATTTAATGAACTTTTCCCTTCATTTCATCTTAAAGTCTAACCAAGTAGGTACAAGATATTTGTAAAGTGGAGATTCAATAAAAATTCGAAGTAATGTTATAGTAACGCAACATTTTAGATTCCGCCGATACATTAAATCCTTACACATTACAAATTCTACTACGAAAAAAAAGGTAGACTTATACCCCATTGGATGATGAAGTATGTGCATTCCTCATATCATCACCTCTTTCACTAATCTAGGCAGCGCGGATGACGATGTCAAAGCTAAGCATGATTGGAAGAGCGAGGTAGACCTTCATTACTCTGCTGCACTCAGAAGAGGGAACTAAATTCGGGTTTTCAACACTAATGTTCAGTCACTTCTTCTATATGGTTGACAGACGACGTGGCAGCAAAAGTTTTTCCAAAAGGCTTCAGGCTTTTATCAGCAACTGTCATCGGTGGCTCCATACTGAAGGTCAGAAGACCAGGAAGGATAAGCAACAGGGAACTCTGGTAGCAAGTGCCGAAGGGAATGAAGGTGGATAGGATACACGATAAGAAGACTGTTGAGTAACATCACACGCCAGGTTCTCGAGTGGAATAGCCTCCAAGGGTGACATGGAGACCATCTGAGGAGATGTAAGCTTATGGACAATCGTGAAACCAGCTAAAGAGGACTGCAGATAATAGGCTGAAACAGAAGTGTGTTGCCCTTAAATCCCACTCGGAATCCTAAGGAATAATAATAACACTGTTGTACAGTAAAACAAAGCATTCACAAATATCTAGTAACATACATCACTGAGAAATATCAGCGCTAATTACTACCATGAACATAATCTTAGTTAAACAAAAACTGTACAGATTTATACGAACCGTAAAACACATTAGAGCACAAAAGCAATTAGACACATGTTGACTTGATTGAATTCATATCGAAATATCTTAATACCATATTGGAAATTAATGAATTTAAAAACAATATTAAGGCTTTCCTTCACTATTCTTGACACCAGCAGCTTAGATCTTAAAGCAGTATCCTGTACATTTTGATTAATTATAATAACACTAAAACGTTTGATCTATCTATTTTAGGACTATACACAACCTTTATATTACATCTGTCTCATTAATTTTACTCCAACTGTGAAAAAGATGAGAAATTTCAGCATATTATCAATTTATAATTATGCACAGAACAGTAGTGATCATGATGATGATGCTAATAATCCTATCAGTGCTGGATAGACGAATACAGATACACCTAAATGTCAAAAGAGGTTAGTCAGCTGTCGACAAGAAGCTGTGAATCAACCGTTTTGACTTTATTAGCCATAAAATGACTTAATCACACTAGAGAAACATAGAAATTCTCAAAATGCATATGCCTGTTTATAAGCACTTGATGTCTTAGTAATACTAGTCATAATAAGAATGACATAACTGCCTGCTAATCATTCTATGCTCTCATTAAAAATAAACTCTAATTTGATAAGTAAATGAATTGTAATCATCAAATACTTTAAAGGGATATTCTCCAACAGTAAACTTACATGAAAAAAGTATTCCCAATCTTGTAAAGGGAGATATCTGACGAGAATTTTCAGTATAAAGATGTAATTTTCTATAGTTTGGTTTGTAAGGATTAGTTATGTTTTACGAGTTGATCGCGGATTGATATCAGTTAGAGAACCATTGAAAACCAGGGAGTACTGGACAGCCGCTATTTCATCCTAGTTTAGGATTCGAACCCAGGACCTTCCGGTTACAACAAGGCAAGCTGGCTCCTATACAATTCAGCCACTGGGACTCAATTCAATGGCCACCGCATGAATTCTAACTTCTACCAATTTGTGATTTAGCGCGACCCCAACCATTGTCGTTGACGGGACATCCATCCACACACACGTGACATCTGGATGGACCTCACTGGTCACGACTTCTCACTAGAACTCCAGGAAACTCCAATCTGTAGCAAGTCACTAGCGAGCAGTGATCAGTGAGGTCCATCCAGATGTCACGTGTATGGATGGATGTCCCACCAACGACAATGGTTGGGGTCGCACTAAATCACGAATTGGTAGAAGTTAGAATTCATGCGGTGGCCATTGAATTGAGTCCCAGTGGCTGAATAATGGTATGCGAGTCAGCTTGCCTTGTAATCGGAAGGTCCTGGGTTCGAATCCCAGTGGGTTCGTACTTCCGATGATTCCCAAACTAGGATGAAATAGCGGCTGTCCAGTACTCCCTGGTTTTCAGTGGTTCTCTAACTGATATCAATCCGTGATCAACTCGTATAAAGATGTAAGAAGGAATAAGGGGGATAACGCATAGTGGAGATAGTAAATCCAATAAGGCTACTTTTCATAGAAAGTAACGATTTGTCAATCGACTTACTAAATGGTTAGTCACAGTTATTCAGGGTTTGTGATTTATGTTTAAAAAACAAAGCGAATGATATTCATACTGAAGAGAAAAAATCATGTTATAATCAGATTACGATAATTTTCCATTAAATCAAAATGGGTTTGATAAATGATTTAAACTATAATGTCACACTTGATTTACCATCAAGCTAAATCGGGAAAGAGATAAACGCTTCCACTCTTTCACAGTTAGTTTCCTTTAAAAAACAAAACATTCATCGAGAAGAAAAGTGCGTGGTATGGTATCACCTGTAATGCGACGCAGCAGAGTGTGAGGAATACAGTCATAATATTATTATTTCCTTTAATTCCTAGAGGAACATAGGGCTTCAGCCAAACGTCTCCATTGCGTTCAGTTCTCTGCTAAAGTTTTCACCCGGCTCCACGTCTGCCCACGTGCTTTCACATCTCCTCTCCACATGACCTCCTTCAAGTCACCCTCGCACTGACGACCAACTCGCCGCTTCCCTTTCGGGTTCCACTCGATCGATGGCCTGGCGTATGATGTCACTTGATGGTTTCCTCAGAGTATGGCCAATCCACCTCCATTTCTTCCTGCTTATTTGTTTCACAATCTGTTTCTGGTTGGTTCGCTCACTGCCATAGATCCCTGTTGCTGATCTTTTCTGGCCATCTGGTCTTGAGTATTGAGCGAAGGCAGCTGTTAGTCACTAAATATTCATACTACGCCAACAAAAACTACCACAACTTCTCATCGCAAGGTCAACCGCAATCATAGAAATACCATAGGCACGAGTGAATAAGAAGAGAAGACGGAACCCATTGACAAGAGAATTTCTACCGTCTTAAATAACAATCCAAATAGTTGACAAATATTAAATTCTCTGACAAGTTTAAAGAGTCAGTAATCAATGAGTCTTCAAGTCTTCACAAAGAGTGGGCAGAAAATACAAAATGGCTCATGAGGGGGGCATGATAACTGAAAAATATTGTTTTTTAGGGTTATAGGTAAAAACTAAGCATTACTAGGGTGTATATAACAGTCTTTTCCAATATTGTCTCGTTTGTTACCCCCTTGTGCAGAACTACTTTGCCTGTATCCATTCACCAATCTACCCATCTTTTAGTATTCGATGAAATATACTGAAGTGATTTTTATCTGAATGGAAATCCATTCCAACTTTCAATTAATCTTAGTTTAATTTTCTTTCTTCCAGTTAAAAAGCCTCATAGTTTCTTTTTTTAAATCGATTTATCAACACTTTTCATGAGATTATGTTGCAGAAAAAAAGAACGACACGAATTTCCATTTCTTTCTTAATGATGAAATATGATATTATCAGATGGGAGGGAGGATGAAAAGTATGCGAAACATTTCTTTCTGCAGTGATGTCATCAAATATAGTACACATAAGCAACAACATGTTCAAAATGGTAATATTAAAATGTCAGTCAACATCTATGTTGTTTGTCATTGTCATTGTTGTTGTTGCTGTCTGGACAATGAAATGAAAAATGATGTTCAACGTTTAACACACTAAGTTGTTCAGAGAGTCAAAGGCAATAATACCTGCTTATATAATATATATATATATATATATATATATATGATGGAGATGTGTAGCTCAGGTGGATTAATTTGATGTGGTTGTGCTCTTTGAGCTGGATAGTTAATTTGCGAAGCTTTCATCGCCTTACTGGGCGACGTCTTCAGCGCATACTTCAATTTGAAGTGAGCTTTTCTCCACGAGGTCACCAGGAGAGATGATTAATAAACTCGTGGAGAAATCTAAAAGCTCACTTCAAACTGAAGTATGCGCTGAAGACGTCGCCCAGTAGGGCGATATATATATATATTTCGATGTCAGTGAGAGCGCGATTACACTTTCAAGCTTCTTCATACATTTTCCCACCTTTTCCTTTATGTTTCTTCCATCCTATTTAGTCTCAAATCTTTCTAGTCGCCTACCTATCCACCTAAGTCATATGAGCAGTCAGTTTTTTTTAAAGAAAAACCAGCAAAAGTGACGTAATCCCATATGTACATAAATATTCCTCACTTTTATTATAAGTGCGTTTTCCTTCCTTCCTTCCAACCTTCCCTCATACTACTCGATTTATTTTCACTTCAATTAACAATAGCTATAAAGTGTCAACAAGTGAGAAAGTTATTGGAAGGAAAAAAGTTCTGTGAGAAGAAAAGGAATGAAATATATATAATGTTCTAAGTGAAAAAACACCTTGCTTATTCCTCAATTATGGTTAAGTACTTTAAGAAAACATAGTCTTCGAAATACAAAAGGGAATTAGTGAACACAGTATGTTCACTGGAAGAGGCTATTGATTGAGGAGTGAGTAGTTTTTTTTTCAGAAATGCTAGAGAAAATGTAACTCAATAGCTCAATGAGATTATGTATTCATATATATGATACATATTCAATAATGATTTCAACTGTCTCGAAAGTGGTGAACACTATACACAACATAGGTTTAGGTT